AAAATGACAATGTGGTCTGTGCTTTGTTATTTTAAAACCGCCAAAAACTTAAAATTTTGAGTTTTCCTCAATTAACATCACATATGACTAAATAAGAAAGAATCAAAATTCAGAAAATGCTTCTTTCAGTTGAACAGTCAACAGAACTAATCTGCTTCATTAGGACTGTGTGGGTTTGATCAGATTTAATTGACAGTACTGTTTTTTAATACATATACGCACATACAGAATGTATGTATTTATATGTATTAGTTATAAGAAAATGTGTTTCTCTATACCCTCATAGTAAGACCCTGGTTTAGAAAATAGGTTTTGAGGGCCTTTATATTAAGCTAAGCTAAACTAAGCTAACTGAAGTCAGCTTAATGCACTTGTTATACCGTCAACGTTCATAAAATATGCACATTTACGAGGAATTGATTATTTTAAATTAATTTGCAATGTGTGGAACATTGAATTAAGATTCATGTTCATCAATTCACTTCATGGTTTAAAAACTCATAATACAGAGTGAAAAGAGGAAAGTTGAATGAATGGTTGTGTAGCACATGTAAGGTGTAAAACATTGAACTGAGATAAACATTCAGCAAAATAAGATGGTTATATCATCATCTGTCAACATGCAGACATATGCAGTGAGCAACACAAAAAAATTATATTATATGGCTAATAGCAGCTGGACCACATTGAATGTAATTCCATCCTTCTATCCATCCTTACAAGGTCCAAGTCCTTCATTCACCCAGCTGAATAACACGCGTCACCCAACCCTCTTTATTCTCCCCTTTTGTCCCACCATTCCTCCACCTATCCTATCCATCACATATTCATTCATGAAACAAAGGGACACAAACAAACAACAGTACAGTCCAACCTGTATGAAAAAAATTCAGCGACACACACTTTGCGGCCGGTATTGTTATTCTATTTACACGGCACACTGTGAATCACACAGCCACAACCAAGAGAGAGCAGAAATGGCGGAACCCAAGAAAAAACTAAAATAATAGCAGCAGTAAAACAAATAAAACTTCAGAAGCCAGTTTACTCTTTTGGCTGATGAAAAAAAATTGTTAACAAAGGCAGTGTGAAGGAAAGGAGATGCTTTGTTTTGTCTGCAAATGATTCTCTCTTTTCATCCCAGACTACTGAAAATTCCTCCAACCCGTCAATCAACCCTTCCCTGATGCCAAAACACCTGGATAAGATGCAACCTATCCATCCTTCCCTCCATTTCACATAAAGCCAGAGGGAGAGTCTCTCCCTCCTCCTATACTTCCTAACCTACATCCCTCTGTAACGCTAACCCACTCCCCCTACCCTCCATCAAACCCGACCTTGCCTCAAAGGTCAAACAGCTGGAATGGATCGATGGTTTTGGAGAGGGAAGGGAAGACTGCAGCAGAGGAGAAGAGAGAGACGAGAGGAGGGGGGACTTTTGATGTGGAGGAGGGACAGGGCCATGAGAGGGGGAGGACAAGAGTAGAAGACGGACAGAGAAGAAATTTTGAAAGAGAGGAGGGAGACGGGATTAAGAAAACCCTGCATCAGCATTCCTCTGGGTTTCTATGGGAGCAGCAGGAGAGGAGGGAGGAAGGGAGGGAGGTAGGGAGAATGGAAGGTGAGTGAGGGAGGGATGGAGCAGGAGGAGTTGGTCTGTGAGGGAGGAATGGGATAAAAGGAGAATAGGACAGAGAAAACTAAGAAGAGAAGGAACACCTCCTTTCTCCTTGTTCCACTTAATTGCGCTAATTGTTTCTTTACCCTTCTTTGTGTGTGTGTGTGTGTGTGTGTGTGTGTGTGTTGGTCTAACTGTGCTAAATACACAAGTACTCTGGCTGATAATGTGTTAATATAACAGAGTATAATACAGTAGCTTCACAGATAGCTGACATTACGTATGTTCATTTTCTACGACCTTTGAGGGATCCCCAGGGGAAGCTATGATATTAGCATTGTCGCACCATCCAATCTCACATATCCGTGCTCTGCTGGGGTATAACCTGCTCAGTCCGAGACCGGAGAATATGATACAAATATGTTGAATTTACTGCATTAACTTACTCTCTTGTTAGGGACCACAAGTAGCACCCATGCTAATTACTTTGGCTGTTGTTGTTTTCTGGTCTGACCGGGCCCCACAGCTTCTAAAAGTTCAGCTAATAATTAATATAAATGTTTGTATTGTTAGGTTTGTATCCTTCAGTTTGCATTAAACACTGGAACTAGTAAATAAGTGTTAAAATGCAGCTAATAGCATACAGATACAAATGTCCAGAAGTAGCTAACACAGTGCTAATCATGTGCTAACAGGCAGCCTACAACAGCAGCTACAGTTTAGAGGTGACGATATGATAATGTAAAGGATATACTCATATGTGTAAATAGATATGATTTAAAACTGTATTTTTCACTACAGAATTAGCTCCATAGAGAAGTGGATACATTCCTGGATAAAATGTAGCTGCTTTTGTTTGTGGTTTTTTTTAATTGAGATTATTGGAACTACTTTCTGTATTGGTGCATAAAGCATTGACAGTGTTAGGTTTGCAGAAAGTAATCCCTATCCAGTTTGCAGTACAATATCGACGGCCTACAGCAGCACAGTAAAGGTCTAACCAGCACACCGCATAGCTCTGCTTTGTAAAGAATATCGATATCAGTACAGACTGGAGCCTGCAGCCGCCACCAGAACACAATCAATAATTCACAAACCTCCTTTACACCTGTGAATCACCAAAGCCTGCATTGTCTGTCGGTTCTTCTGTCTCTGTGGTTAAATGCCCTTTTGTCCAGTTTGTGTAACCTTTTTACGCACATTTCTTTTTATCATGTGTATGTATATGTCTTTGTAGCTTGATGTCTCTCTCTAAAAGTCTGTTTCTTATCCTCTTATTTTCAGTCTCTGGGCCGGATTTGACACAGATGAGTGAGACATTCCTGGGTGAGCGCACACACACACACACACACACACACACACATAGTTCCCTGAGTCATATCAGCTATGTGAAGAATTCCCATCACTGAAGGGTTAGCATAACTCAACATAGTAGACCCTAACACAGCTTATGAAACCATGTTAGTGAGACTGCAGACAACTAGAAAACCCCTGAGCATGGCAGTCATCTGGTAAATCAATGCCAGGTGGAAAATAACTAAATACATAAACTTGTGTTGATCACATACAGTCATACATCTAATGTATTGACTGTTTGGAGAATAGATTTACAAAATGGGAATAAGGGTTCCAGGGTGCTTCACATTAAAGTCCTGTTAGTTTTCTTTATAGCCAATATTAGGTGTAGTGATTCAAGTCTTGGATTGACATTGAATCATAAGGACAAAAGATGAACAACTGTGTTCGAAAATATCTGGATCTTCGATCAAAAAGTCACAGCAAGCCCTTGTACACAAAAACTTGAGGAGAAAAGTCAATTACAAATTCCAAGGAGCATTTTCTTAAGAAATATCAAAGCGCCGCGCTTAAAATTCTGTTGCACCTACTGATGACAGTTCATTAAGCAATTTAAATCCCAACTATAATGCCAATGTACTTGGTTGCCACTGATTCATGGGTTCTTCTCTTCTGCCCTGGCAGGGATCTGATGATTATGATAGTATTCAGGGCCGTCCATACCAAACTGACAGAAAACAGAAACAAAGCTGAAATAATCAACACTGATTGACGAAACAGTATATAGTACTGCTAAATTATCCAGAAGTTTGCAATGTTTTGGATTTCATGTACACTTGAACTAGCAATCCAAATGCAAAAGATATGGTACAGTCAACTAGCCGATAATAGCAGAATTTCAACCACTTACAACATTAAGAAGTTTAATGCAATTACCTAACTTTAATGAAAAGAGGATTCTTTGCAATGAGCATGAGATAGAGCTATCAGTTCAACATGGTTGAAGGAGGAAGTGAAGTATCTGCTGGTATCTGCAATCCCATTTACTCAGTCACTACCCAAAGCCCATTTTACAATCATTAGTGAGAAAGACAACAAAGTGCGTAGGGTGTTTTCACCCCACACTCCACTCATCCAGTCTGCTTACGCAAATAAACTGCCTGTCCACTGCTGCAACACTGAGCGTTCCTCCTAGTCATCTTCCCATCTTCCCAGTCATCCACAAACAGCAAACTGGCAATTGTATCGAGAGAACACACAGTCCAGCCAGACCGGAGCAGACAGACCCAGATCCCGTGCCAGCAACCCAGCCATCCATCCAACCCTGACCCACATCAGGGGCCTGGTCCTGGGCCAAGGCCGTGAGCATCGGCCCATCAGACAGTGAGGAAAACAGACAATGAGCAGAAACAAGAGAGAGAGAGAACCAAACAGGTGGAAAGATGGGGCCTCATTTAATGCTTTTCACTCAGATTAGACGGCTCAGAAGGAAGCCTTCGGGGGCAGTGGAGAGGTCAAGCTTAACTCCAACATCAATTTATTTTTATTTATTTACCTTTCAAAGGAGTGCAACGCCAACTCTGTGTGGTTTATTTTCACTTCAGCTGGCCCTGGCATCAAAATGTATTCCTCCTTTTCATTGCAGCACTTTATTGGCTACACTTGGTATAACAAAAAAGTCCCTGGAGTGGCAGCAGAGTGGCAGAAGGGAAGTCAACGCTAGATGAGAACAGAGATGGGCTCTCCTGAGGCTCTCAGGCAAACTCAGCACAGGAAACATTGTTTTCTTCAAAGGGCCAAAAGGACAACAGGCTAAATAAAGATCTGCCTGAACCTCAATGTTGAGCAAAAATTTCCAGTTTGGTCCAAACTCAAATATGCACTTTAATCTGAAATTAGACCATAGTAATTTTCTTCAACAAAAAAGGGTTCACTAAACAGCCCAGCAGTGAGCAGCCTTCTACTGCTGCACTGGCTCACAGAAAACAGCATTTATCCCATTCCGTAAGCCAACTAGCCCTGCCTGCCCCAGTATTCTCCTCCTGGTCGGGCTCCATACAACACAGTTATGATATTGTGATCCTACCTTGTCAATCTCCTGCTGCAGGACCTGTTTGGCAACCTCCAGGTCCTGCAGTCGAACCCTCAGTTCCTCATTCTCCTGCTCCAGACGGCTCCTCTTCTTTTCCACACTGTCCAGCTGGCTGTGGAGACGGATGGACACGTCCTTCGCCACCTGGGAGGGGGAAGAAGGAGGGATGGAGGAAGAGGAGTTTAGCTCAGTTGTGCATTGTTTAAATGTGTTTATACTTTACAGAACATCAGCCACCTGCATACGTACTGTACTGATGTTGCTATAGGACACTGTTTATATATTAACAATATTTTTTCCATGCCATACATAACTAACCCACCCCACTCCATCTGGGTCTAACTACTTAAAATGGCCATAATATTCAGCTGTCATATAAAGCTCCTTTCAGACATGCACTCTATATGTTAATCTGACAGCAATTTAACATGTTGGTCTCATGTCCAAATAAGCACCCAAGTAATTATAACATAAACTGATGAAAGCAACTGAGTAACATTTCTGTATCACATCCAACAGTGGACAAGTCTGAACTGAATGTCATCAGATTGATTTAAAGGCTGCAGCAGCACAAGGTAAAACATGCACAGAGAGATTAAATGCACGTCTTGTCCCGCCTTTGAAGATCCCTCAATCATCATCTCTTTTGCACAATATCAGTTAAATAGAACTATGAGACACTGTGAAAGAGACCATTTTAAGGCGTTGAAGAGATCAATCATCTCGTATCAGATTCTCCACTTGTGGTGGGACCGAAGCAAAAGAGATTAACAACTCTCTTAATATTTTCTGACCAGTAGCCATATATTTCCAATGTTCATTCGTCTTTCATCCCGTCTTCAGCTGAGAGCAGGGACACTTAAATAAACAAATAAAAGAACAAGCATTCAAGGATCCAAGAAATGCACTCTCATATGTATTAAAAGGCCACCATCATGAAAAACTTGTCACGGCTACTTTTCTTGTCAGCATGTATTGCTCAGTGTTACATACATAAAGTTATAAAACAGCAGAAACCTTCCTATTCCCACTGTGTGTACATGACTTAGATATTCCCCCATAATAACACACACAAGGTGAACTAAGTCTCTTGCAGTAATCTTCATTTGCCAGTGCTGATTACAATAACCTTTAAAATGTCATCATGGGATATTGCTCAGGAGATTACTTTTTATGTTTCTAATCTCTGCTCAGGTAAGAGAGATAGAACCTTGCCTCTATTTTATTTAATTTCCAAGCGTCAGATATGTTCTAGGATTGCTGCCAGTGCAAACAGGAGCAGTTCAGTGCTGGTCATTTTAGCTGAGGCTACAAAATGTGTCATCTCTATCTTAATCTAATAAAGCCAAAAAGATTATTGATACCACTGTGCCAGGAACTGATCTTTCATACATAATGCGATCACGTGATCTAATGAAAGTCTGATTGTGTCCCCCTGAGGGAATGTATTCATTAAAAGTTTCTAATGTCAAAGAGTCAAACTAGGACAAAGTCAACTCCCTAATGTCTGATATGAAAACAGCACAACAGGACGCAAAAGCAACAGTGAAAATGTTCCCTCTGATAACTGCGCTATGGTTTAACTCATCTAATGATTATGTTCTAATATTTAAAATTGCAGCGACTTTATTATGAGGCACGTACACTCTGCCTTGGAAGCAGTAATGAGAGTTATTTTAAACAGAAACTTAATGAGATTGTTTGCATCATTTATTATTGGCTTGAATTTCAAGTCCTCCAATTGAATTAAATATCAAAGGACTGTTTTGTTGTCTAAATAGCATACAGTGGGCTACTATACTGGTATATAAAGTCAAACCTGTTCTCTGCTGTGTTTTGGGGAAACAAAGCACACACTGAGAGCCAATATTAATAAATTACACATTTTAGATGGGGGTTTTGTTCTAGAAATACTTCTTAAAGACTTGGGCTGCAAGCTAGGCAGCAATAACACAACATAAAATCTGATATTCAGAGCCATAGTGATGCCATTTCATGCTGCAATATACAAACTTACACTGGTATCTGGTAACTCTGTTTTTTATGGTGAATTCAGCCGTATCGTTTGATCGTTTTCCATAACAACAAACTATTTTGTTATTAGTGTGCAATGGAAATACAGTTAGACATCATTTGATTTAAGTTAAGGCTGAAAGACTCCCATGGAAATCGGCAGTACTTTTGAAATCTTTTCTTTATGCCTTTACAGAGCCAGGCTAGCTGTTTCCCTCTGCCTTATGCTAAGCTAAGCTAACAGGCTGCTGACAATAGCTTAATATTCACACTATGATTTGTGAAAACTGCAGTCATATCTCAGTCATATTCTTAAATAGAAAATATTTCTTGACATTGCCGTAAAAATCAGTTTTGGTATGATTTTAAATGTTTCAGGAGACTTCAGATAAGAAAAAATATGTCAAAAACACAACACTGTTAACTTGAAACAACATAATAACAGTCCGACAGTAAAACCAAAAAAATCAATTTTTGCACAGATTGTATCACACTCAATTTGTATAATAATCTTTTGGTTATTAGAAATTATGAATATAAAAAGGATTTAAAAAGTACAGATAAAAAAGGTCAATAGCTTTAATAAATGTCCATTTTGACTTCATAATGATTGCTTAGGCTCAATTGAAACTAAATATGAGGGCTTTTATTCTAAAAGGCTGTATTAGATTTGATGAAATGAAACTTTAATGATTCCCGTCGGGAGCTGAGTAAATGGATATATCCAGTTTTAGAGAAAAATGCTTGTGTTAAATCAATCACTCAGTAGCTCATAAATGTACTTAGACCCCATTAACCTCAATACTGATTTAATCTAGTGGGAGATGGTCTTTGGTATCTGATGATTTAAGAGTTTTGTGGTAGATAGATTTTACTTTTACACTAACAATTAGTGAGAGTAGGCCTTATTTATGTATTATTCACAATCATTTTACTCAATAAAAACTGTACACTGTCTGCTTCAGTTGCACCTGAAAAGGGATAAGGTGACAACATTATCATTCTGTAGTACTGCTTTGCACAAATGGCCTGCCAGCTGCTTTCATTTGATTATATGGAAACAAGGTGAAAGGTTGCTCCATTCAAAGCACAGCAAAAACTGGTGATAATATGGCTTGGTAATTTATGTGCCCAATTTATGGTGCTATAAATGGTTTTATATTTTATGTTGTTTTTTTTTTATTTAATTGAAATTTGAAAAACAACAGTTGATTATTCCTCAATTTAGTGTTGACAGCAAAAAATCATTCTTTTAACACATACAACATACATAACTTGAGCATATAAAGATCAAGTTTGCATCTATATTTGTTTAATGTGTGTTATTATATTAAAATCTTACTTTTAATATATATGTATCATACAGTATATATATATCTGTGGTGAAGAAGGAAGTCTGACTGGTAACTGCAGCTCTGATGTGATGAGAGAAGATTTATCTAATTGTGCCTCAGCATAATTAATACCTTTACAATGTGCAATTATATCTGTGTGTGTGTGTGTGTGTGTGTGTGTGTGTGTGTGTGTGTCTGTTTGAACCAGTGCCAGTGTGCAGCTGAGTCCCACAATGCCCCTCTGTATTGCCCACTCTCACTCTACCCAATGGCTCCCTGAGCTCCACCACGCTCCAATTCATGTTTTTGTGTGTGTGTGTGTATTATTCTTTCCTCTGTACACCTTCTCTATTTCTGTCCAGAAGTAGTTCCTAATAGTTCTCCTTGTACTACCCAAAATTTTGGTTACAGTCCTATTTCTCTATTCTTTTTTTTAAATCATTTTTACGCCCTAATTCTTTCCATATAATTCTCAATTCTTCTTCTGATATACATATCACATACAGGTGGTCATTATACCTATATAATTATAATTATATTATAATTCAGGTAACAATCCTCAGAAAGGCCACCACACTAATGATTGTTCAGTTTAACGTTTCTTGTGAAAATAGTAAACACATCTTAAGCCACCTTCCTTCATAGATAGTTAGCTACCTAGCAACAGAAACACAGCAACAGAAAAAAGTCTACCCAAACATGACATATGCTATGTTAACATTCAAGTGACAAAGACTTCTAGCAACAGTTCAATCACGCCTCTTGACTGTTGGGATCAAAGGAGGAAATAGTCTCATATTGTTATACAGACAAAATCTGCAGAGGAAGGAGGTCAGGTCTTTTTACGGGTCAACAAAAAGTGAGATGTTGACATGGGAACCCCCGTTTGTTTCATTTATCTATGACCACCGTCCCTAACCCAAATCATGATATTTCCTTAACCAAGTTTTTTGGGGCCAAAACATGACCTAATATTATACTTGTTGCAGTGTCAATTCAGAAAACGTTTTTATTTTTTAAACATATTTTTCAACGTCAGATCAGAATACATGTGTCTCTCTCTCTGGAGGGTAATTACCACTGTGTATTTTGTCGTTTCATTTAGAGGAATTGTTGGAATAGGTTTCGGTAAATACATGGAACATAGCTTTCACCAACAGACATGAAAAGAAGATGTCGTCACAGTCCCACAATGTCTGATTGGTAGGCAATCTCTAGAAGGAGCGGTGCAGAAACACGACAGCAATGAGAACTGAGTAGAAAATATGGGGATGAAATTTCATTTTTATTTGTATAGTGCCAAATCATAACAAAGATTATTTCAGGACACTGACACTTACTAACAACAACAGACATATTTGTCATGTAAAGTTGCTACCTCTGTCTCTTTAAACCAGAACGACACGACACTTCAACATCAGTGTTTGTGTATGAAAACAAAAGATGAGTTCTGAACGTGCGTTGGTTGGAAGCTCCTGGAGCTTGATTGAATTGGACAGGAAAGGTGACTGATTAACACAGGCATTGGTGCATCAATATTTGAAGAATAACAGCTTTTATTAATGGGATGCTTTCACTACTGCAGGTTTATGGGTCTTCATCTCCTTCTCCTCTACACTCTTTTCCTCCTCCTCCTCCTCCTCTCCTCAATTTTATAATGTCCTCCTCCTCAACATTCCTTTGTCAGCCGTTGACTCCCAATAAATGCTGTATTGTTCTTCTATGTTAAAGGGAAACGTGAAGGAATTTAACACCATTGAAGCTGTGGTTTTACCCAGCAACAGAGCTATAGGATGT